GGTTGGCCGGCTCAACCGGCGGTTTCCCGGTTGGGCGGCTCAACCGGCGGTTTCCCGGTTGGCCGGCTCAACCGGCTGTCTCCCGGTTGCCCGGTTGAACCAGCGGTTGACACGGTTGGCCGGCTCAACCGGCGGTTGACACGGTTCAACCGGCCAACCGGATCAACCGCCGGTTCACCCGGTTGCCCGGTTGAACCGCCGGTTGAGCCGGCCAACCGGGAAACCGCCGGTTCAACCGGCCAACCGGGAAACCGCCGGCTGAACCGGAGGTTTCCCGGTTGCCCGGTTCAACCGGCCAACCGGCCAACCGACCAACCGGGCAACCGGGACAACCGGCAACCGGACACATCCGGTTGAACCGACTCGTCTCGGTTAGTCGGCCGGCCGGATACTCCACACCATCAAGTTTGTTACTACTAGTAAGGCACTTTGTTTCTGGTCGTTTCCAGATCAAACACGCCATTGCCGGCGTTGGCCGCTCGCCCTTCGCCGCTGGCCAGCGCCGCCTCTACGATAGCCCCAAGCCACTGGGATTGCGAGCAGTGTAGTGGCAGGTGCTGGGAGTGCACATGGCCAACGCCACGGACGTGATTTTCAGATTCATCCTGCAGGTATCCCTGTCCGTGGAACGCTTCTCCAGATGGTTGGAAGAGGTAGCTGTGCCAGCTCTCAGACAGAGCTCCGAGAACGGCCGCGTGGTCGAAATATGTCGTAATTGAGGAACTTTCTGTATTTTCGTGGTTTGTGAGGGGTTTTGTTTTTTGGTAACCCTCATTTGGGAATGTTTGGATGATGTTTTAGAGGTTGATTTGATAGGCCACAACTCCCGCAGGCAATCCACAATTCTCGTGAATTGGCAAGCAACATTCCTGAGGTTGGAGCTATCAGGTGGGGCCAAGTGCTGTGCTTCGTGGCTCAGACTCAGCTGGCCAAGTGGTGGATGTGCAGTGGTCATTCAAACATGGGCCTCAGGACCAGGGAGACTCCTCGAGAGTCCTCCAACCCGGACACGAAACATGTGACTGACTGGCTACACCCCTTTTCAACCACCCCTGGCCTGATTGGCTTAGATATGCCACATACATGGAGAGGGCCCAGGCAACAGAAAATAGCACCAAACATGCGACTGACTGGGGGAGTCTATCAGACTATCTCAGACAATCTCAGACTCCAACAGACTCTTGAGGTTTTGCTTCAACCCATGAGACCTGCGACCCCACGACCCCACGACCCATGGTGCTTCAAAGATTCGACGACTTTCTTGATGACAGCTGTAGCACCCCAAACCCGCAGCAGCTGTAGCACGCATGCACTCAGTGTTTTCCACACATTTGCCAACACCTGGGTGTTTGTCTACCCTGCTCAGGAAAGCCTGGACTGGATTCTTTGCAGCATGAATGTATCTTCCAAAGCTACCGGCGATCCACCGGTTGTAGCTGCTTTTTGCCTTGGAGCCTACGATTCAAATTTCCTTTTGCGCTTCGGCATGGCTCGACGCGACGACGATCGACCGGCGGCGCTCGATGGGCGGCACTTCTTTGAACTGGAGTCTTTGCGGATACCTTTGCAGCTAACACCTCTTGCAAGCAAGCATCGTGGCGAGTTTACGTATTGTACCATGCGAGGTGCCGGCAGAAGCACCTGCCGTGGTTGCTACTTTGATCAGTTGGATGATCCTGATGCAGCTACCTCTGAGAGCTGTGCCAAATGTGCATTTGTCGCTGGCTTGGAAGATGTTTACTCACATTTACAAGACCATGACTTTCTCGCCGAGATGGAGCGTTGGCTGCTGGGCTGGCGAGATCCGCGAGGGATGCGTCGGAGGTGGCTGTCCTTGACCTTGGAGCGGAGCGAGTCCGCTTTGTCGTGCGTGGCGGAGCGAGTGGTGTCCTTCGTTTTCCCGGAGGGACATCCCTTAGACACGATCCAAGCGGAAGATCTGAGGTATCCGAGGTAAACAATTGTAGGCGATGCCCTTGTACAGTGTACAGACCGGTTGGCCTAGCTTTGGTTTCGGGCAGGTCAACTTTCGCACCTGAGAATTCCTGAGGAAAGTGAGGTTTTGCATGTTGTTTTGTGTGTTTTTGAGGAGGTGGAAGGCCACCGTTATACTTGGCATCCTGAGCTTTGGCCTTGACACTGAGGTGCATTTGTTTATTCAGCTGTTCTCACTTGATCAAGTTCCTCCAATGATGTTGGTGTAGGTGAGGAGGGTCACCTGAAGGGCCCCAGTTGACTAACACATGAGTCAATGATATTCTATATGTTGTTTCTTGCAATCAGATCTAATGTCAACACCTGGGGGTCGTTTGTCATTCTATGTTATCTTTTTCTCTCGCGATACAATTGGAGACGGGAATTGAAGGAGGATCAGTGAGGCGTCAAGACGTCTCTCAAGAAGGATTGGTCAACCCTGGTTCTTCTAAGACTCGATCAGTGTGAAGGCAGATCCCCACGGTGTCCTCCATTCACCAGACTAGCCGCTCACCATGTTTTTTTCTGCTAATTCTCACCCTCATATGATGTTTCTGAAGTAACCCAACCTTGGGTAGCAAGAGGATATCTCAAAGCTGCTGGTATGAACGGCAGGTGAATCCACCATAAGTGGTCAACAGTCCAGTCCAGTCGGGACTCTCACAGCTCTGTCGGCCCCTAGGTCTGGCCGTACGGGTGACTTGGACCACTCTCCCGGACCAAATCACCTCATCTCTCCGGACTGGACTCGGAAATCCTCTCAGGTGGGAGGGCCAGGATGTCACCCGCGAGCTCCCCTGGCAGCCCGTTTTCGTGCGCGGACAGCCCAGCCGGACAGCTCACCGGTTGGACCGGTGCGGAGAGGAAGGTCGTGGGGTCCACATGGTGGAGGGTTAGGGTCCAAATGGTCTTAAGAGAAGATCCCTATCCCAGACGCTCCATGGGACTGCCATATATGCCTACATTGATGCCTCAAACTACCCCAATGTAGGCATTATATACCATACATGGAGCGTTTGGGTATAAGAATCACCCTCTAATTGGGTTTATCACAAGTCGTTTGGAGATGTTTGCATCTGACTACTGCATACAGTACTTCATCATTGAAGGGCCCAAGTCAGACTGTTCGAGCTCAGGCTCTGAACAATCATTTTCAGTTTAGTTTGGGTCACTGGCACTCCAAGTTGGCATGATCAATGAATCCAACAGGTCACGAATGGTCCTGCAAGGTGATGGGCCCGAACTTGGGGTTGCATGGTGTACAGTCCTCCTTCCGCAGCATTGTTATTGTTATTTACTTTTGTGTGTGTGTGTCAATTTCATCTAAGGCACACCAATCAGCAGCTTGGGCATGCATGAGTGTATGCATGTAGGATTTCAGTCTAAGCCCTCCTTTCGGGTCCTCGCCCTCCACCCCAGTCCTTTCGTGTCCGGTACCTTCTTCGAGTCCAGGCCGGAACCTTACAACGACAAGGAGGATGCTGGAGTGCTCATGAGCTTTGTCCGGGACCAGCGTGGAGCTCAGAGCACCGAGCGTGTGGGGAGCACCGAGCGTGTGGGGAGCACGCGTTTACCGCGCACTGTGCTGCAGGACATTTGGCAGTGATTTCTTAATCCAGAAGTCCGAGCTCCACCGAACTGGTTTGGTTTAAGTATCTGGGTGGTGTAAGAGTTGAATTCATTCACAGGCACCGCCCCAGACGTGCTTGGCACCCGACATGTGCACGAGACGTCGTTCCCAAGCTAGCATCCGCCGGTCGCGTCGCCAGACATGACAACTTCCTGACAACAATCATTGGAAAGCGATTTGCAACCATCGAAACAACGGGGGTTGGGACTCTGAAATGAATCGGTTAGATTGAAGGACCTCACGAAAAAACAGTGTTTTCTTGTCGAGGCGCGTGCGTGAGTGTTCTTATACAACATGGTTTGTCTATCATCTCTAGGATTACGTTGCTTTCGTCGATCACTCATATTTTCCACTTATGGAATCTGAAAGTCTAATAAACAACAGTGAGTGTGTCCTTTCGCAGTTTTCGTACTGTGTTCGTACAGTGTCACCGTGTTCCGACTCTGTCAATGGACTGGCTGTTCTACAGTCAGCACTCTGACTGGTCATGTTTGAGCAGGCAGCTTTACAGTTAGTTGTAGACCCCTGAAGACCCCTGATGTTTACTTCAGGATTTCCTGTCTTGTTCATATTCCCCCAGTCTCTGGGGAGACCGGCAACCAAGGCCCACTGGCAACTCCTTTTGCATCGTGTTGGATGCTGCTACCATGGAGGAGCAGGTGTGAATCACTGCACTGTGGCACGTTCCATCACAGAACACAGTTACACATTGTTCTCTTCTTCAAGTTTAAAGATCCTTCACAGAACTCATGAATCCATTTGACGTTCAAGTACGTGCATTGGCAACGCGCTGGCAACACGTTTGTTTGTAAAGACACAGGCTCGCATCCACTTCCCCGAAGGGCATCACATTCCTTTGCCGGGCTCCCAGGGCTGGTTCCGGTGAAGAACTACTTCATTCCCTTGTTCCGGTGTGGAACGGAGAATTACAACCCGATGGACTGTTTGTTTAGATAAATACATATTGCAGCAAACAGAAAAAAAAGGATCCATAGGACCTTGCACTGAAACAAGATTTCTTTCCACTATACTGGACATCATCCATATTCAACTTAGGTTGACAACAGATTCTTCTGTGTTTTTTGATGACTTCAGCCTTGAGGTGGCTGCACGCAATCTGAAGCCTAGGTGCCCTTTCTTGCACAAAGCCACACAGGCCTATGGCCTCCAGGAGGGTCAGGAAGGGTTCCTTTTGGTTTCCTTGCAGCCATTCTCAGGAACAACGCCTTGGTCTCTGTGTTTGCCGCTATCAACAGGCCGTAGATACCAAACTGCGATTATGCGATTCCACTGCGACGTTGAGTGGAGTTGTCCCACCAGTACAGCATCCAACAGCAATCATCATCAGATCCTGCCTGATCGAAAGGCGACAGGATTGAACTCATGAGGTCATGAGGTCGTTCCATGATCTGCCAGGAACTATGTAATATGTCAACAGTTATCACATATTATATGTGAATAACATGCAAGGAGCTCATATGCCAATGCTGCCACGTGTATTGATGAATTGTCATTAAAACCAAAAAAACAATGTATATTATGAATATATATAATATATATATATAACGTAATATATGATATGACGTATTAATCACTCCACTTGTCACTCTTCTCTTCCCAACGGCGTCCGACCTGGGCGTCCGTAGCTCTTTTAGTGGCGGCCTAGGCACGGGCATGGGACCTTCATCCGGGCCTAGGCGCGCAGGGATGGCGCCTCGTCACCGGCACTTCCACCTGTCGTGCTGTTGTTTTTCGTGCTTTTTTGTTGAGAGGGACAGACACATCTTTATATTTGTTTAGTTTGTATTTATGGATAGTAGTTTGTTGCTGTGTTTTATACCGCTTTTGTGTGGGTTGTATGGTTTTTTTGTTGGCACACAACAGCGCCTGGGACCAGTGCCAGGTTTGCCACGGCCACGATGAGTCTCAGGGTCACGCCAGCCGCCATTCGATGCATGTCGAGCAAGCAGATCTGCTTCCCGGGTTCGATGCTGTTTTTGCTTTCTAATGTTTCTAATTGCCATTTCTGGGTGGTGGTGTCTTTGGAGTTCCTCCTTTCTTGTAACGACTTGAACATGGAGTTTCTAGCAGGCTCGAAAAGAGACGGTTTTAAAGCTTGTTCTTTTTGTTGTTCATGCCTGCACGATGATAGTTGTAAGGTATGAGGGTGCTTGTTGCTTGTCTCGCACAAACACCCCAGAGGCACCTATCGCCCTATCAAGAGTTAGTGTGCCAAACTGCAACTCGACATATGCACGAATCAAGGCGGAAAAACGGCGCAGCAGAGGCTGGGAAAGTCGAAAGGTAGATCGTAGGAGAGTGTGGAACAGTCAACACATGTCATCACCAAGAAACTCAGATTTGTGCAACATCGCAGTCGACACTGACCCCCAACTTTCAACGAATTGTGTGGCTTTGCTGCGATCAGCCGTAACATGTGAAGAAAGGCGTGACTTCTCGCCACAAGTATTTCCACGGATCGATTTTGTAGCAATTTGCCGGAGCACCAAATGGTCGGGCTTCTTAAGAAGCCGCCTCGAAGACGAAGTTTTGTGGTTTCTTACCTGTAGTCAGTCCTAGAAGACTTTGACCCTGACCATCATCATCATCATCATCATCATCATCATCATCATCATCATCCATTATCCACTGCTGGTGATAACCTGCAAGAAGGTTTGTATCGGCTCATGTTGGCGAACTGTTGGTGAACTTGCCAGAGCTGCCCTTTGGCGAAAAATATGATCACTCAGTCATCAAGGTGCTGACCCTGTAGCTTCTGGAGCTTTATTTGTGTCCTTGTCCGGGGTATGCACCACATTGCACCACCGTGGATTCTTCAGTTTTGTTTTGAGCCTTTTCTCACCTGCGCTAGCTGCGCTCAAAAAAGACACTCGTTAAGCTGCTGTTCTGAACAGCGCACCTGTTCGAGGCGGCGGTGTGGCAGCGAGTTTGGTTTTTTAAAAACCGCCGTCATGCGACCTATTTTGGCCCGAAGGAGTTTCAGGGACCTACGCTTCCCGCGAGAGACATGCTCAAGAGCAAGGCTGTGTATGATATATTATGATATGAGCTCGCTTAAGGCTGCACCAAGAGCAAATGCCACTGCTGTCAAACATTGGTCGGTGTAAATGAATGATGTGCACCAGGTTCAACTCAAAGCTCTTTTGGTGCACTAGAGTCTCAGAAGACAAGAGGGGATTCAGATGCTCCCAAAGGCATGGGATCGTCACGAGCTAAGCCTACAAACAGCAGGTTGATACCTTCATACCCAACTTCATCAATTCACAACATCTTTGGATCCAGAGACATCAATGAGCAATCTCTCGTTCTTTTTACATCCGAACGTTCAGCGACCGCCAAGGGTTTCTCAATGAGACGGATGGCGCCGGATGAAACCGGACAGATCATGAAGTAGGCCCAAACGGACCCAACCCGCTTAAACATATGTTGGCAGA